ATATAAAACAATAAAAAAAAATAACAATAGTGAAGAAAATTCCGCTAAAAGAGATTAAATAGATAAGTTGTTGTTGAACCTTGGGGTGAATTTTAGTTGATTTTAATAGATTCTCAAGCCCACTTCTTGTGAGGGTCATGTATGATAATTACATAATCGTTTTTTAATTTCTATTAAGAAACTGTAGGAAAAGAATTATTCCTAACCCTTCTATTGCCTTCCAGTATTCTTGCAATGGAACTAAAGTATTAAAGCGAATTTCATTGCTCCCTCTCTTATTCAGAAGAAGAAAACAACTATGTAGATAAAGTGGTCAATTAAACAAACATGTAAATCATTAACAACTCTTTAATAAACTAAAATTCTACTGTGATGCTTCAACTACATAAAACTCACCTGCTTCTTACTATAAAGTTTAACTCTCCATACAAACTGATTTAAATAGAGGAATCCACATCTCAATCATGTAAATTGATAGATTAAGAAAATAGAGTAAGGAATTAGAGAGTTATCAAGTTATCAAGTTTTGTTGATGCACTTCAATGGAAGTTCCCTTCCTCCGAACTCTCATGTCCACCTCTTCCGCCTTGACCTATCCTTCTTGGTTTTTTTTCCTTTTGTTGTCAACAACTGTATTAGAGTTCTTCTTCTTCCTCTCTTGTTTCATAGTGTAGTAGAGCCCTCTGATGTCTCCTCCAATTTCTTTCTCAAATGTGGCTCCTTTCTTTTTAGGTAAATTTTTACTTTTATATTGTTTGTTTCTTTTCATTTAGGGTTGAAAAAGGATAAGTCGTACACCTAGGATACACCTAATTGAGTAGCCAATGACCCATGTGGATTACTGATGTGGATTAAAATTTTTATGTCATCCTCGAAAAGTTTGCTTTCCGAATTGCTTGAGCATCAAGGTCACCAATTTGTTTCCAGCCAGTAGGGTTGTTTTTCAGATTTGCTACACCATCATGGTTCAGCATAAATAATCTGGAACTTTACCAAATAACTCAATTAAATGTACAATTAGGCTCGATTCATGCAAATTGATATTATTTTTATGTTGAACAACAATGGACTATTTCATGCTTACTAATTAGAATAAATGGAGCAATTGATGAGAAAATTATTTGTATGAGTGCAAAATTAACAAAAAACAAAAAAAAAAAAAAATTGATATAACTCTACTTTTGGAGAGTTATCAGTTGGTCACACAACCTTAACCGGCCTATGTCTTGCTTAACGGTATTGGTACTAGAGTGGAAAGGGAAGTTGAAGCCTTGTTAACACCATACCTACTGTTATTGCCCTTGAGAGCTACTTTTGTGATTGTTGGATGCCATGAAAATTTACTAGGTTCTTAGGGGCGTCTATGCGGTTTAATCTTTGTCTCTCATTTCCTGGACATCTAAGACTAACTCATTGAGCTAATCCACTCTTTAGGTGCACTAGGACTAAACCTTTGATCAGTGCTCACAATTTTGGGGTGCAAAGTCTACTAGTAATGTACTGACCCATGTCAACTCGCAACCCTCTAGTTCTAACACCCTAGGCTTAGCTTGGCTCTCTTGTGCATGCTTTATAGGGAGGTTATTCTATCGATCACCTAGAGCATGGTATACATAATCTAAACATTCATACAATCTTATCAAAGGGATATCCTATCAATTACCTAAAACACCAAAAACATAAACTAATGTTGGGGTTTATGTCCTAAAACTCATAGTTAAAAACATATTCTATTTTCAATAAAGTTATTATTAATGTTCATTCAGTAAAGATTGTTATGGAATAAAGTGAATTTTACGATTATTAATCAAAATCCAATAAACTAACAACACTTTGACTATAGTATGATTATTTGAACTATATGTAGATACATAAGAGTGTTTCAAGTTGAAATATATAGTCAAAATGATCTATAGTATAGGGATAAAGGTTGAGTACCTTATTTAGGAGACACTTTGGATGTGACTCACTTTTGTATATGATATAAACAACGTGATCACTAAATTGTACATGGGGAGACATGTGAGTGGGGGCGTCCTATGCAATGAGTATTGCATAAGATCGGACCATAAAGAAAAACATATGGACCATAAAGAAAAATCACTCACTGTATAATGTGTTTATTCTACATAATTTTACTTTTGTAGATCCATTCCTATCCTATGAGTTTAACCTTATCGAGAACATCTACAAATTTCTTGGATTTTATGACTTTAAAATATTTATCCTTCGTCATCATCCCTCGTAACTATTTTAAGGGTAATAAGCCTTCAAATTGGTCATCTAACATGACAATTTAAATTTTAGTAGGATTGAATCAGTTCATAATTCTCCCACTACGACCAGGCTTATCGAATTAATGACCAAGATTCACTTGACTCTCAAACGAAATTATATTATTAACAACTTTTGTTAACTATAAGCGGCTTCACTTGAACTATTTAATTAACATTATCTCACCTTATTAAAGGGGTATGTCCTTCTATTTGAACTTCTTTAGAAAATTACATTTGTCATACAAATATGATTTTCTCTTAAAGGACTATTTTGTTTCTATTTAGGAGTAGCCTAGACTTAGGCATACACAATGTTCTCCAACTATTCATTATGATCCATTTTGGTAAATCTATCAAGACATTATGATCCGATCATAATGTCTTGATAGATTTACCAAAATGGATTTAACTTTAGTCTCATCTTTCTTGAACTTTAAAAAAAAAAAAATAGAGTAAGTTACATTTGGTAAGGATACTTATATATTGAATAATCATCGATCAGATTGATAAAATATTAAACATATTCTTTGACTTTTGCATTCATTAGACTACTTGGGTCAAAATGCATAAGCCCAAAATGCTCTTTCGTCTTGCAGCCTTATTCAATAAAAGCCCAATGATTATCTTGCATGAAAAGCAAGATCTATAGACATGTAAAGTAATTAACTCCAACGTTTAGAGAATTACCTTTTACTAGTCTTTCATTGTATTCAATTTGACATTAATCAAATGAACTACCAAAGACAAGTATCATCTTTTGGAGAAAACAATTTATCTTTTTATCCTTGATTCTCTAATCATCTCAATGTTTCATAGCATAATAAGTGAACATTTTAACACATACTAAATGTACTTCATTTGAGCCAGCATTTAGTAACAATTTTTACCTAACCATCTCAACGTCTCCGACTACACCAACTGAGATTGATTTTCTAGTGCCAACACATATAATATATTTTACCTCATTAAGTATTTTCCAAAAATTACATATAAGTGTAATGGAAAACAAATCTTGATAGTAGATCTTGTATCAACGATCAGAGGTGGTGTCACCTATTCTCTACCAAAAATCTAGTAAATCAAATTTACTTTTATCTATATTTTTCTTTCTAGAGAGTAATTTCAAAAATTTCCCTCACTGTTATGGCTAATTAAGACCTACTTCCTATCATAGCTTTAGTCATAAGATTTTTCTTGAATTTTGTAATACTTAATTTCTAGATCATTTAGATAATTATCTAAATTTAGCTTATCGACTTAAATATCTCATATGTTTTGTCATTTTCTTATCTTTTATCATGACATCCAACATGTCAACTAAAGATATGAACAAAGCTTCCTCATCATCTTTGATTCACCAATCATGTGTTGTTCGAATAATTCGATTCACATTGACAATAGGTCTTGAGAACATTTTTCAATAAGGACAAAAAAAAAAAAAAAAAAAAAAAAA